GGCTAATTTTTTAGATTTTCATTATTTTTTATTTATTTATCGAGGCAATTTTTAGGCTTTTTGATAGGCTGTTTTCGTACTCTTCCATTGCGATGATTTGTTAAATTATTAAAAGGTTTTTAAATTCGTGAAAAAATGAGATTTTGACCATTCTCTAGGTTTTTGGATGACTCAAAATTTGGCCAACTATTTTGAAAAATCATATATATTTTCACATACATATTCTACTACCTTTAATTCCAGCACATCTTCATCGGCCGCCGAGATGCCGTCATGAAGAACGCCGACATGCCACAGGAGATGCAGGACGACGCGATAGAATTGGCGCAGCAGGCCATCGACAAGTTTCGATTGGAAAAGGTTCGGTTTTTTCCGCGCAGGCATCCACCTCAATCCCAAATCTAATTCAACTAATCATCCGCCTTACAGAACGCCATTCAGGAAATGGCCGCGTTCATCAAAGCCGAATTCGATAAGCGGCACTACCCGTCATGGCAGGTTAGGACTTTTAATGTTCTTCTGAAAAGCTAAAAAACTAAGAAGTATACAAAAACGTTACATTACTCTAAAAACCAGCACAAAACAACATAAAGCACTAAAGTAAAAACAATCGAAACTTTAAAAGTTTCAAAACCTTTTCAGTCTATCTAAACCACATAATTAGAGCGTTTAAAACTTCAAAAAACGCTAGTAATCGCTAAAATACCTCGAAAACTACGACATTAGTCTGAAAACCAATGCTTAGCTAAATACAACATCAACTAAGATTTAGACAGGTTTAAAATCGTTCAAAAAAAATGAGCTCGTTTCCAGGTCGTTGTCGGCAGCAATTTCGGCTCATACGTCACGCACGAGACCAACCGCTTCATCTACTTTTACATTGCCCATATCGCGTTCATGTTGTACAAAACCGGGATCTAAATTGACTGTTGACCCTCATCAAATCAATTCCAGATCCTCAATAAACCAAAATTCCAGAAAAAGACTGTATTAGCACACACACACAGAAAGGAATACACAGCAGCACGAGGAAATGCGCGAGGGTCATAGTCACATGGATATACAAGGGGGCGGGTGAACCTGAAAACACCGAAGTAAGTGAAGCATTTGGGGGGAGGGAGATGCACAGTTTTTGGGTGATGGAAAGTAACAAATATGGTCAGGGTGGCGGCGCGGCGAGAGAATCAGAGATGAGGAGGAATTGGTCAAAAAAGAATAGTACAAGTTTGCGGTGACTACCAGTCCTTTGCAATTTCCAGCGTCCACTCCCACTTCGCGAACACGTTCTTGTAGTCGTCGGTGAACTTGGAATGGACCTGAAATGGAAAAACATTGAGAAACATAAGGAACTAGACATTATTACAATAAACCATAATTTTTTTACACAAAATTTCGTAATTTCGAACTATTCCATACGACAAAATTCTTAATCCAAAATATTGCTAAACGTGAAAATTTCCAAACAAACCTATAAAATATTCACGACAAAAAACCGTTTTCTCGAAAAATTTTTAATGTTCAGGCTGAAATTAACTAGTCCTCCCCTCAAAAAACACCAAAAATTTTCTAAACAGAGTATTAAAATATTTCATAATGATAGCATCACATCTTTTTCGACTGAGAAATCGGTTTCCATTATCCCCGATCTAAAATTCCAAATTTTGAAAGTTTTTGAAATTAAAAGAGATTCAGATTCCGATGCCTAAATTTTCCTGAAACCGTGTTATGGCATTAATAAAAGGATCTGGACGTACCGAAAAAGCACACAGCAAATTAATAAAAACGTAGAAAATTTACCTTATATTTCCCCCGGGACATCATTCCCGATGGTGCCTCCTCCGATGGGGTTGTGTAGGTGATCAATTCGGACTTCGGGCCGTAGGAGCCGACCATCAAGTGCTCGTTGATCACTAAAAAACAAAACATAAAGAAAACGGCTAAACCCAACCTGGAATTCCCATCTTCGTCACTTTATGCGAGTACCGCAGCCCCGTCACCATTTCGCGCTGGACGTAGAACTTGAACTGCAGCTTATAGTGGACGCCTTCCTGCAAGAGTTTTTGGCTGGAATCTCTGATTGGGGAACTGAAAATAACCGAAAAAGCGAACCTTCAGCCTGAACGAGGTGGATTCGAGTTTCTTGCTATCCGAGAGGTCCTGAACGGCATCGGGACGCCCGTCGACGAGTAGAACGATTTCGCGAAGGAGCACAACTTTCGGGTCCGCGGGGTCCACGATCTAAGGAAAAATATATTATGACGATAAAAGCACAAACCACGGCATCGACAGCATTTCCGAGAAGCGCCTCCTTGTACCTCTTCAAGCTTTCGTCTCCCTAGAAAAAAGTGAATTTAGGATTTTTTGCATGATCGGGGGAGAGGGAAAGAAAATTCTTTTCTTGGGAGCCTTTTTAATAATATGACCAAACGCAACAACTTACACAGATTTTTCGACCAAAAAAGCCATTTTTTCACCAAAATTTCGACTTTTGAAATTTTTTAAAGTTTTTAGATAGATTTCTAGCCAAAATATAGTTTTGTTCTGCTAAAAACCTTACGAAAATACTTCCTATTAAGATACTAGGCACTTCTAGATTAATACAAAAAAATTGTCCCCCCCCCGCAATGCGAAAGAACCGAATCGAAAACCCTAAAAAACTGACCTCATCGCAGGCCAGGATCTCCATGACGGACTTCTGCACGGGCGGCTTGTAGAGGGCATCCACCGGGTTCTCTTGGTCGACATCGTGGGCTTCCTCGTCGCGCGCCATCTCCTGGAAATCAAAAAGTTGATGCCATAATAACATCAAGAATGTAGAAAAATTATTGAAAACCAGGAAAGACAATAGAGCCGTAATTCAAGGGGAATACCAAATTGACTTCGTTGTTAGGCGGCGCCAAAAAACAGCAGGGACGTGAAAACAGCAAAAGCCGCGGGAAAATTTGAGCATTGCGCCCCCAGATAAGCTTTTCTGTACACGTTCCAAAAGCGAAAACAAAGCGCCGCGTAAATTTTGACTTTTCTAGAGGCCTAACAACGGCTAAACGACTAGAGAATGCTTAGAATCAATAAAAGAACACCGTTTTCAGATAGAAAGTCAATAGACGCAGCAGGTAAGTGGAAATTGAGCGAGCCGCTATTGTGAGCAGCCATAATGCAAACACAGTGGCAGCAGCAGCGTTGAAAAGCCGTCTGAACGGGGGCGCAAAGTGCTGTCGGAATCGATGGGACGCTTGGCCCGGGCTGGCTATGAATCAGCGGTGCATGGCAAATGAGCGACGGGGGCAACTGTGGAAGTCAGGGCGACCGAAAAGCGAGGCAACAAAGCTGCGGGCTGTTTTTGAGAACGCCAAATTGGGGGTGATGAGTCAGCGAGTAATTTATCGTGCAGAAAAACGCGACGCCTATGATGAAAACGTTATAAACATGCTGGGATAAGCGGAAACTATTCTAAACGGTCCATGGGCGCGTGAAAGAGCTCCGAAAACGCTGATAAGAAAGTCAATAACGAAATCACATGGTTCGGGGCTATTTTGCGAGCAATAAAAAGGAAAAAAGGGTCCAGGTCTTTCGAAAAATCAACCGCCGTTTTGGGGTATTCCGTACGCTCCACCGTACGGAAGGACGAAAATTGGTGTGTAACGTAGCGATCACCGATTCGCGAATTAGTGTCGAAAATCAATCCCAACGATTTCTACTGCTTTTCTAGAGCTTTCAAATGCTGATAAAAACGTCACTAAATGAAGTGTGTTTTACCCCTATTCGGAATAAATCCTACTATATATAAAAAAATAGTTTTTGTGTGTGTGTGTGTGTGCATTTGCATGCAACTTCCGTCACCGTGTCCGGAGGATATCTCAAGAGGCGAAGGATCCTAGGCTACGTATGATACGTCATTAGGTGCGTAATGGCCCCGAGATGACTGCACACACATCAGATTTTGCAATTTACGTTATTTTCGACATTAAAATTGAGTTTTTGTTGAAAAATCCGACAGCCTTCTTTGTTAGGAAAAAATCAGCATCTGCCGGAAGTGGCGGCAGCCTATATATAACGCGAGAGCGTGGAATTTTTTATTTTTCTCATAGGAATTCGAGAGACGTATGCAGAGTGAAGAATATTCTCGGGTTAGACGGGGCCAGGGTTGAAAAGTCGCGAAGCGGCTTTTCAACCCTGGTAAAAAATAAAAAAAGATTGCAGTTCCAAGCCTTTTTCAAAATCTAGAAACGTTTGGACGTGTTCCGTCACGCCCCTCATTACGGCAAGCCGTGCGTAACGTAGCGATCACTCATTCGGGAGTTTAGCGTTGAAAATCAATACTAGCAATTTTACTACTTTTCAAACTATCCGATCTGTAAAATTCGCGCGACCACATTCTGCTGCTGCTGGGCATGGTCGATGCTGGGTGCTGGCGGAATGAACAGGGCAATGAAAAACTGAAAAGTGTCGGGCCCGGCGGAGAGTTTGTTCAACGGCTTAGAAATTGGCAGGATTTCGCGACGTGTCCGGTGCGGCATAACGTAGGTAGCTCACGCGTAAAGTGGGAGGAAAACGTCATTTGTTCGTATAGGGCGTAGACTTTGGAAAAGTTAGAAAACGTTTGGGATTGACAACAAAGAAAAAAGACAAAAGTGGGAATTTTATGTGGGAAAACTTAAAAACGGTGCTTTTTCTCTAAATCTTGGCCTACTGCACTTAAATCGCTAAATAATGTAGCTCCTAGGTTTTGATTTTCGACATCTTATGCATTACTTACTTTTCCCAACTTTCAAAACCTTTCATAACTTTTAAAAATGTCTATTTAGAGAAAAAATAAATAAAAGGTAGGTTTACTGATGGAAAAACTGATAGAAAATTAGAAAAAGTAGTTTATATAGTTGCAGGCGTTAATTTTGCCAGTTTTTATTGTATTACTCTTTATCAACGGTCTTCTACCCTCTCGCTTCCTTAAAAAAACTTTTTATTCTATACCAGCGCCCAAAACCCGCTTCGCGGGCCTTGGGCGCTGGAATGCGGTTTTTGCATGATAAATTTGACTTTCCGATCACTCGGGTCCTTCGGACCCTCCCCCTGCCGGCCATACGGGCGAGTGCAACTGGCATGAATGAGGAAACTTGTATTTTCACATTATGCAAATTAGCCTGCCGGGACCCCTAAAAATAATAAAACCGGCTTTAACTTTGTAAACTTGTATTTTATCGAAATTCTGAAAACGCCATCCAAAAGAGGAGGGTCGATTCCCCCGGGTCACGGAGAATTAGGGCATTTTGGACACGGGAAGGCCCTCAAATCGAGCCTCGAAACTGACCTCCGCACACACACACACAGACAAAGATACGCGACCAAATTATA